CTTTGCAACTCTTAATATCGCCTTTCTCTTTTCCCTCTTCTCTTTTCTTCTTTTCTCTTTCTCAAAGAAGTTGATCCAGAAATTCGAAAGAAATAGGCACAAAATAATTGAATGAGATGAGCAATTACGGGGAGTATTTTGGGGAAGGGAAGAGAAGCCCTGCCTTAGGAGCACCAGGCAGCCAGCCTGTAAGAGACTGAGAACCAGGCCACCCGACAAGGTTTGCACATGGTATACAAGTCTCCGGCTGCCTCTTTCTGCCTATGTGAGCACTAATAGTGGTCAGGAAGAAAGAGGAGATGAGATCATGAGGCCCACCACACATCCACCCTAGCTCAGCTGGCTGCAGGATACTAGATTTGAGGGACAGCATCTGGCATCTGGGAGCTTGAACTCAGGGCGCAGGGAGCAGGAGGCTGTCCAGCCTCCCAGGCCAGTGCCAGCTCTCTGCATTCACCCCAGCTTCCTTCCACATCTGTGGCTCCCAGCCACAGAGCCTTGATTTCTCTCATCATAGTGGAAATAACAGGACACCTTTTCCATCTTCAAAAGCAACCCTACTCTATTTCTTCACCCACAGACTTCAACTGCCTTTCAGAGCTTCAGGAGTAGAGGAGCCCAGAAACTTGGGAATTCTCTGGACCTTGGGGAGTCTGGAAGATGCCCACTTGTCCCTCACCCCCAGGCATACCAGAGCCCTGGGCCTGTCCACATCTGCAGAAACACACTGAAGCTTTGCAAGATGTATCCAAGGCCTGAAAATTAATTGTTTGTTCATAACTGTAAATAGCAGTAATCATAAATAATAAAACTCTAATTTCTCCATAAGTAAAGTAATATCACAAGCCAAAACCAGATTATACAATGTCCATAGAATACACAGGGCCTTCCCTTCTGGTGGCCACTACAGCTTTCAGGCCAAGCATGGACATTTTATTCTTAGGTATGTTGCTTTTAAGAAGATGTAATCTGCATCTTGAGTTCAGCCTTCCTTTGTGAGGCTTCTGTAGCTATGGAAGTGTGATTTATGAAGATTTGTCGGGGTCAGAGATGCCCCCCCACACTGTGTATATTTAGACAAGATTCAGTTGGTGTTAAAAAGTGTATATGTTGAATGGATTCACACACAGTAGCCCACAATGCCCACATTGTCGGCCCATGTACAACGCGTATTGAAACACAGCGCCCAGACTTCAACTAATCTGCCCTCAATAAAGCTGAAATAATTATCCTAAGCTGCCTTTCCAGAAGAAAAATCATTGAGGAATTCAAAACTTTTTTCAAAAAGATCTTTTCTACATTCCGATGCAGATCTAGGGGCGCGGCGCCGGGTACACACCACTGTGGAGATCTCAAGGAGGAGGAGTGAAAAAGGGATTGAGAGAGAATTTAAATGTGAGCCTAACGTGACTGGAGCTACGGTGGTCCCACCCCTCAAACCTCAGGCTCAGGCCTGATTTAGGCCTTGACTCAGGCCGCGCCAGGCTTCGGAGGGCAGAAGGGTTCAAACCTGGTTTGAGGGGGGCATGGACCGTGTGTCTTGGGCTACGACTGCCTAGCTGGAGCGCCTAGGGTACCTAAACTCGCTGACTAGGGCAGAGAAATGTTTCGCCTAAAGGAAGGATCCGTCAAGTCCCACTTTGGCGGTCTCTTCTCTCCATCTATTTTCCTATGGACCCTGTGTCCTTTTCCACTCAGCTGCGAAGCTCTGGGCGGTCATTCACTGCGGGCCCAGAAAAAACCCAAAGGTTGGGACACAAAAACAGACACTTCATCTTTTCTTCCCGACCCCTTTCTCTCGTCGGGGAAGGATTATAGGCTGAAAGGTGGGAGGGAGAAGGGGCAGGAGGAGGAAGCGGGGGAGGAAGGAATGAAAAAGGGGAGGGGAGTGAGTATTGTACCGCGTGTGGGGGGAGAATTCCTACGGGTGGGTTTCCGAATATTGTGTTCAACTTTTTGAAAGCAGCTCGTGACCCCGAAACTGCATCCCCTGGAGCCGGGGACCCAGGCGCCAGGCGGGCGGGCGAACCCGGCCAGTCCCTCCCTATCCCCACAACCCCCGCCTCCGAGTGGGGGGGACCCAGCCCTGGAGGGAGGCTGGGCAGGTGCCACGGGCTGTGCGGAAAGCGCTGAAATCGAAAACCCTCGCCACTCGGGGTGAATTGAGGCGAGGGGATTGGAGATCGAGCTCGGGAGCACCCCTGCACTCCAGCCTCCGCCTAGGCGCCTGTTGGCCAGCTGCGCTCTAGGCTGGGATGGTGCCGCGGCTCCGCAGCGTAGAGCGGGGAAAGAGGACCCAGGCTAGGCGCACAGCTTTGTGCACCCGGACCCGGTGGGGATCAGGGGACCCTGTCGCCGTCCCAGGCTACCGGAACCTTATGGTAGAGCTGAGCTCCGGGCGGCCAACTGAGCCCACCTTCGGGCCCCGTAGCGGCCAGCGCTGCTCTGGCTCTGGCCCGAAGCCTCCCGAAGCCGGTAAGTTGAGAGTCCTGTGAGCTGGTCAGGGAGGTGGGGCGGATGCTGCAGGACTGGGTTCCAGCCGGGCTGGGAGCTCTGGCTCCGCAGGGTTTCGGTCTAGGGGTGCTGAGTATGTATGTTTGGAGAGGGGCTGTAGACATCTGGAGTTCTTCCAAACTGCCATACGCTGGACTCTGGGGAGAAGGGTAGGTGTAGAAGAACCTCAGTTTCCAGAACCCAGGCTTCTTTCCTTGCTGGTCTGAGGATGAAGCCGTAGGGCAGTGCAAGAGTGAGGACGTGAGCCTGGGGCATTTCTAAAGCAGGTGGGGCGCCGAAGATGGCCTGCACTCGGATTCTCTCAGAGCCTCAAGGCCAGAGTGGGAAGGTTTGTGGGGCCTCTAGATCGCTCGCACTCTTGTCTCCTGGCGGGTCAGGCCTGGGGATCTGAGACTTGGTGGATCCAGGGCTTTGGTCACCAGTGCAGAACAAAATTGCCACCAACAACCATCCTTCAACTCGGCCATCTGGGATCAGGACAGAGTTCAGACGGTGCGGTGAGAAATGAGGGCATCAACTGGAGAGTGTTCTCCTGTCAAGCCCCACAGGGCATTTATTTGCTGATGTCTGTCAGCTCAACTCCAGCATTAAGAAAGTCTCGATCCAGCCAGGGGATATACCCCCAAACAACCCCACTCTTTCCTTGTTTCGGGTTACAGGGAAAGCCAAGAGTTCCTCAGGCCTCCAGGAGAAGATGAACTCCGAGAGGCTGGGGCAACTGCACACAGACCGCCTCGCTCAACCCGGAACAGCCGGCCCAAAGGGTCCAGGAAGGTGGGTCCTTGGGGCAACGCCTCTTCCGGGCTCTAGAACGTCGGAAGGTGGGGATGGCCGGGTGGCGGGTGGTCTGGGCCTCCCCTCAAGCTACAAACTGAGGAGCTTGGCGCGAATCGCCAGGGAGGGCGCAGGGGAGCGCAGTACTCTGGCGGGGAGGCCTCGAAGCTCTTCAAGGACCCCATTACTTTCCTTTGAACAACAACAACAACAACAACTGCTCCCTCCCTCGTGGCCCTCCCACTCCCCCTTAGCCTCCCGGGACCGCGCTCCAAGCAATTGTCGCTCAGGACAGTAAACACAGCTCAGTTGCCTCAACTTTCTCCGTGCATAAAAGTTCCCGGCGTGCGGGGAAATTTGAATATTTGATCAGCCCCTTTGAGTGACCCTCATTAGCCTGGCGCCCTGCTAAGGCTCCAGCATTGCAAGAAAGCCGTTGGGCCCGGCATTTGTATGCCTTGTTAGCGCTGCTTAATGAAGCCGCCCCGACGGCTCAAAAGCGGCCTCAGGGGCCGGCAGTGCGCACCTCTCGGCACCCCGCTCCGCCTAATGAGCCCCGCTGCTCGCTAAAGGCCCCTCCACCTCCCACATCCTCAAACAAGAGAAGTTTGGCACGGTCTAGGGCCTGGACACCTCCCACCGCCAAGCCCAGGAGGGTGGGTACAATCCCAGCCTAGCTGGCTGCCTAGATCTAGCCCCAAGAGAAAGGAGCCAGACACTTGGGGGAATGAAAGCCATGCTGGCTGTGGGTGTGGGGAGTGGAGTGGGTTTTACAGTCTCTGGATCTGGCTGGTCCTCAAGTGTACCCTGAACCAACCTTTCCCTAGACAGCCTGCTGTAAATCAATTACCCACCCCAGTTCCTTAAAGGTGAACCTGTATTAATGGAATTGCAGAGGGCAGATATACAGGGGAGGGTCAGCTTTCCATCCTCCTCCCTCTTGAAGTTCCTTTGGTCTCTTCTCACCAGGAGGCCTAACGCTCCTTCCCATCAATCCTCTTCTGACAACCCAGAACCCAGGCCTGTATTTGAGAAAGGGTGGGCAAGCTAAGTTTCCCAACCTGATCCCACCATCCATAGAGCCCAAACACTGAAAAGACATGACAGTTGTCAGTGATGAAGCCTGGGCACCACAACC